GAAGATACAGAAGGCTCGGAGGAAAGAGAAATTGCAGTGGCAGAAATGGCAAAATTGAAACATCCCATCAGCTGTAAAGCTCTTACAAAGCCACCAACGGACCAGAAGCCGCCACCATTCACAGGAGGGTTTGTTCCAAACAAACCTACACAGAATAAGGTCTATTCCTTCGATCTAACCAAGGTTGATGCTCTGTTTGATGAGATGCTGCTACAGAGGGCAATAGAGACACCTCACAAGCTGCCCAAACCAGAAGAACTTAAGGGAAGACAGTATTGCAGGTGGCACAATTCTTGGAACCATTTCGCCAACAGTTGTGTTGTTTTCAGAGATGTCATACAGGAAGGAATAACAGTAGGAAGATTGAAACTGGCAGAAAAACCCCCCTCAGTGACGACAGATCCTTTTCCCTAGCCTTAAGTCAACATGGTCAACCTGAATTGGCCAGAACGGAAGGGAAACAAACCAGCAGCAGAAGCCAGCTCCAGCAGGAGCAGAAGAGTCACAAGGGAGGTTACTCAAAGGCCAAAGGCAACCATCTCGGCTCGGGTAGTGCTGTGTAGCAAGTGCAAGTGTGAAAGTGAGTTAGAAGTGACTCTGGACAGACAAAGTCAGCCCACACCCAACGTTTTTGACCGGATTGGAACATCGCGCCAACAAGGCCCAGTTCTAACTCCCTCTAAAGACAGTTCTGGACAGAGAGGCTATCTTAAGCCTACCCAACATAACAGAAGAATGCCAGAGTAGCCCAAGAAGGAAATACCAATTAAGATGCCCGGAAATGACAAGCCTTTGGCAACTATCATAGAAGGCAGATGGTATTCCGTTGGAAAAAGCGGTAGACCAACTCTGGTGCTAACTAGAACTCAGAAGAGGAGAGTTCAAAGGCAATATTGCACATTCCTTAGAAACAGGAAAGACGCACAGGTACTGCCAGAAGAAGGAAGAATCCAGAAGTAACTCCTCAGGCAAAACAAGCAACATATCAACCACAAGAGCTGATGAAGACAGAATCTCCAGACAAACCCTCCATCCATCAAACCTCATCCTCAGTCGATCAGCCTGAACTTCCACAAATACAAGGTGGATCTGAACCTATTTCAGAAGAAAGACAAGAAGACTGGACTGAAGAAAATGAGGACGAGCAGTTAGACTATGAGCCATCTACAAAGGACCAAACTAGGCTCCTCGAGATAGAAGAACAAGAAGACTGGACAGAATAGATGGAATATGATGAAGGACTAGATGAAGAAACCGAGGCTTTTGGTGCTGAATTGGAGAGCTTATTGCAGGGTGATCTAGGCATTAACATGGTGTTCGTCTTGTCAGAATAATTCAGGGCAGCAGAAGGACAAAGAAGCACTCTGGAGAGAGACGTATTCTCCCAGGAAAGTTTTGAGTGCAAGCTGGCAGAAGTAGAAGAGGTGCCAGAACAGCAAACACTAGCTGCCAAAACAGGTGGAACTGCCACAAAACAACTTTGTTTTTCCAAACCAACCCAGAAAATGGCTAATCACCTCAGACCTCTGTTCATAACTGCAAACTTTGGAGGTATTCCTATTTCCAAAGTAATGGTAGATGGAGGTGAAGTCATCAATCTTCACCCACACAGGTTGCTGAGCAAGATGGGCAGAACAGAGAAGGATCTAATTCCAACACGTCAAGACTTATGGAATCCTGGATGTTGACGTCATAGTTGGAACCAAAGAGCTGAAGATTCCCTTCTTTGTGGTAGACACCATTTCTACCACCTACAATGCACTGCTTGGCAGGGACTGGATTCACTAAAGCTTATGTGTTCCTTCCACTCTGCACCAACATCTAGCCCTTTGGAATGAAGAAGGTTACATGGAGATAGTAGAGGCCGATCCACGGCTATTTCTGCCCTCTGCCATGTGTTTTGACGCAAGGTATTATCATGATGACCTTGGTCCTTTCACATTCTTTGGAGTCAACCAGAACGGCTGCCCTCATGGTGTCACGGCCCAGAGACTCATTGAAGATGGTCTAGCCAGCTCTCTAGAGGACTGGAATAGGCCTTTTGTTCTAAACTTCCAGAACTCTGATGTTTAGTCTCAATCAACAAGAAAAGGATCGAGCTGCAACAAACCGATCCATTACAAAAAGATTGTTGATATATTGGGAAGAAAGGAAACTCTTTGCACAGAATCCAGCCATCAATATGGCAGAATTCACGCATGAGAGCACTGAAGAACAGGAAGAGAGTTTACATGAGGAAATATTAGATTTTGCACCAGCAACACTAGATGACTCTTTACCATTGCAGGAGATAAACCTAGGGACATAAGAGGATCCGAGACCCACTTTCATTAGTGCACTGTTGGAAGAACCACTCAGGAGTGAAATCATTACACTCTTGCATGATTTTAGAGACTGCTTTGCTTGGCATTATCATGAGATGCCTGGATTGGACAAAAAATTGGTGGAACACAAGCTGCTAATCAAAGAAGGCTACCTTCCAGTCAAACAGGCTAGAAGAAGAATGTCCATGGAATGCCTGGATTAGACAGAAAGTTGGTAGAACACAAGCTGCCAATCAAAGAAGGCTACCTTCTAGTCAAACAGGCCAGAAGAAGAATGTCTATGGAGACAGAACTAAAAGTCAAGGAAGAAATAGAAAGGTTGCTCAAGGCAGGATTCATCAAACTAGCCATTTATGCTGATTGGCTAGCCAATATTGTGCCAGTTCTGAAGAGAAAAACAGGGGCAGTTAGGATCTATGTGGACTACAGGAATCTAAATGAAGCATCCCCTAAGGATGAATATTCTATGCCAATGGCAGATATGCTAGTAGATGGAGCTGCTCATAACCAAATGCTATCTTTCATGGATGGCAACACATACGCAGGCTACAATCAGATCATGGTGGCAGAAGAAGATATCCACAAGACAGCCTTCATGTGTCCAAGACATATAGGTGCTTTTGAATACACTGTAATGCCTTTTGGCTTAAGAAATGCAGGAGCTACTTATCAAAGAGCAATGAATTCTGTTTTCCATAATATGATAGGGCACTCTCTAGAGGTGTATATAGATGATGTGGTGATTAAATCCTCAGAAGAGGGAAATCATGTGTCAAATATGAGAAAGGCATTCCTAAGAATGAGACAACATAATTTGAAAATGAATCTCAAAAAATGTGTTTTGGGAGTGCAGGCAGGAAACTTCTTAGGTTTTTTGGTCCACCAAATGGGCATAGAAATTGACAAAAATAAAGCAAAGTCCATCATAGGAGCTCCACCACCTCGGAACAAGAAAGAGCTGCAAAGTCTTCTAGGAAAAATCAACTTTCTAAGAAGATTCATATCCAATTCTGCAGGGAAAATCCAGCCTTTCTCCTCCTTGTTGAGATTAAAACAGGAACAAACTTTTAAATGGGAGGAACAACACCAACAGGCTTTTGAAGAAATCAAGCACTACCTCTCAAATCCACCAGTTCAGTCCCCACCAAAGAGAGGCAGACCACTCAAACTTTATGTGTCTGCATCAGAGGTGTCCATTGGGAGTCTTTTGGCCCAAGATAACAAGGAAGGGAAGGAACAAGCAGTCTACTATCTGAGCAGAACCCTGACAGAAGTAGAAAGGAATTACTCTGCAATTGAAAGGCTCTGTCTAGCCTTATACTTCACTACTGTGAAGCTCAGACACTACATGCTGCCATTCACCATCTACATCATTGCCAAGACATACCTAATCAAATACATGCTAACAAGGCCAATGTTGAGAGGCAGAATTGGAAAATAGACTCTGGCTTTGACAGAATTTGCTTTCAGATATGTTCCTCAGAAAGTTGTCAAAGGACAAGCTGTAGCAGATTTCCTAGCCGATCATCCAGGGGAAGAAATTGAAAACATGGATTCTTTGGATATAGCCAATGCAGATCTGTTGACTAGAGCTCATACTTGCCTTAACAATCCTTTCTATTCGGTTCACCTCACACCTTGGAAGTTGTATTTTGATGGATCAAAAATCGATGCAGCTTCTGGAGCAGGGATTGTTTTGGAAGAGCCATTGGGGATCAGACACTGTTATTCTTTCCAGTTAGATTTCCAATGCACCAACAATAGGGCTGAATATGAAGCTTTAATCATTGGCCTCGAAATGCTGGTAGAATTAGGGATCCAATCTGTGGAAATCCTAGGAGATTCTATGCTTGTATTAAAACAAATTGCTGGAGAATACAAGTGTCTGAATCCTTCCCTAGCTGTTTATTTAGTAGCGGCCAGGAACCTTCTGACAGAATTCAGGGAAGCTACTTGGGAACATATCCCACGAGATGAAAACTTTGTAGCCAATGAACTGGCTCAGATAGCAACAGGGATACAAATGCCTGAGGACTGTGTGCAAAGAATTATCAAGGTAGGAAAGAAAAGTCTGCCATCTGTTCTGACCAGAGGAATGGAGATAGATGCCAATTCTGCCATAATCACTAAAGATGACTGGAGAACTCCCATCATAAATTACTTACAGTATCCAATCCTGCCTTCTGAGAAGAGAGTCAGAATCATGGCTTCAAACTACCTTATGTGGAATGAAGATTTGGTCCGAAAAAGCAAAGTTGAGGTACTTCTAAGGTGCCTGGAAAAGAAAGAGTACATGAAGGTAATGGGACAGACCCATAAAGGAATCTGTGGAGCCATCTCAAGTCTGTTTCAATGGCCTCCAATACCTCAACCTCCGTCGAAGCTCGGTCGCAGGCCTTCCATACTGAGTTCGAAGGTATTTGCCGAGAAATCCAGGACTCCATCCTCCCCAACATTATCGCACCCTGGACTGACGACAATGGTGCCCCTACCGATTCTTGCCTTCTCGGCCCCTCTATCGATGGCGGAATGCCAGATAAGCTCGTGGTCCATTTAAAGAACAACCTGGTAGACCACTCGGCCTTTGACGGGGGGGATTTCCAGGATTGGAACGTTGTCAGGCCGCAACAGCAATGGCCGACCGTGACCCCAGACTGGGAAAAGTGGCTGCCGAGGATGGAGCACTTCTTCGGCCAGCAATGGAAAGACCAAGGCATCTACCACCTGATCAAGCTGTTTGATCGGCCGCTTGTTATGGATCGGTCACTCTTGGCCGCGGCTTTGTGCTTCTGGTCGTCGGCCACCAACACTATGAACTTTCGGTTTGGCATGATGACGCCGACCGTTCTAGATATGGCCTCCCTGTTCAGCCTGTCCCCTCTCGGCGTGGAAGTAAACGCCGCCCTTGTTGCTCCCGAGGTGGAAGGGAGTTTCAAAACCACGTGGCTCACTCTCGCGAGACTCGCCGAAAATAAGGCGAAGAACATGCTCAACTACTCCAACTTCTACAGCAACTTTGGCGTAGAAGACAGCTTTGAAGACGACGCCATCGCCCCCCTCGGCGAAGTTGAGCACACCGCGTTCTTGCTGTACTGGCTGTGCAAGTTCGTGTTTTGCACCCAGGCGAACAAGGTCACCCTGGAGTTCGCCCATTTGGCCGATTATCTCGCGCAAGGCGGCAGGCTGGCGCTCAGCCCATTCCTTCTCGGCCATATCTACCGCACGCTTCACGACATTGTCACCGATGGGATGAAGCCGAAGCACGGCGGTCCACTGTGGGCCTTTCAGTTCTGGCTACAAGCTTACTTCCCAGAACTGAGGGGGGTGGCCAGTCCCAATGACAACGAGCCGCTGGCCAACGCATTCGCTCGCGCCCCCAAGAAGCATAATGCCACGGCCTTCTGCTACAAATTCTTCTACAGCTTGACCGAGAGGACTGGTACGCAGTTCCGAGTCCGCCTCGCTCGGCCGTTCCCCATGTTCCTCGCCCACGACCTCTCCGTTATTCTTGATGGCGAAACGGAGAACGATCTGAAAGAGATCTGGGGCTCCTTCCTGGTCTCACGCGACCTTCACTGCGACTTGTCCAAAGCCGGGGCCGAAGTTTACCTGCCAAACTTCGTGGCGCGGCAATTCGGCCTGATTTAGACGGCCCCACTCCCTCCTCTGTCAACAAACCGGCTCTCGTCCTGGAGGGCCGAGGTCCCCCAGCAACACGGCGTAGCTAAGATATCCTTCCAGCTCCAAAGGGGGATGACCTTCCTGACTCTGACGCCTTGGTTGCAGCGTAATGCTTACGACGAAGATGGAAGGGTCTGGTACGAGGAGTGTATCTCGGCAAGATTTATTCGGCCTGTTGAAGAGGCCGTGAGGAGGGCCTTGAAGAATGCGGATTGGGGTCCTCTCCTCTCCAAGGGTAGTAAAGTGAAGAAGGTATCAGCTGGGCCTCTTCGCCCGAGTACCCCGGCCGTGGCCGTACCGAGAGTGACGACCCCTCCTTCGGCTGGAACAACGGTCGTGGCTTCCACCGTGGCCCCATCTTCAACTGCGGCCCCAGCTCCCAGGGCGACGCCTGTGGTGGGGGCACGGAAGACGCTGGCGCATAGGACCGTGCCGTCCTCCCCGCCGCCTCGGCCGTCCGCTGCCGCTGGTAAGCCTTGCTCACTTTATTTATTATTATCCTGTGTCGGCCTCTCTAAGCCACTTTTATCCTCGGTCATCTCACCTCTCTTTTACTTCTATTTATATGCACAGCCCCAGCATTGGGGCCGCAACAGGCCGCAACGGTTGAGGCCGCACCGGCCCAGAGTGCCGTGGCTGAGGCGGCGGCCCTGAAGAGGCCGAGAAAAAGGACCCTTTTCGCTTTCTCGGAGGGCGGAAGTGAAGAGGTAGTCCTTCCTGTGACTGTGAGCGAAGCTCCCCCTGTGGCCGTAAGCATTTCTCCTTGGCCTCCTTTTTCCTTTCTTTATTTTCTAAGTCACCCCCTTCCCCCTTTGTGCATTTTGGTAATCGTGGTTCTTTTTCAGGACGTGGTAACGGTCGAGGAGGAAACCATGGCCGAGGTGCCGCGCGTAGAGGAAACGGTAGCCACCGAGATGGTGGTTAAAGAAGTAGGAGTTGCAGAGGCGGTGATTGAGGAGGTGGCCACTACTGGGGAAGTGGCCGAGGCGCTGATGCTGAGACTGCGTCCGTCGAATTTCCGCCTGCTGAGGAGATCGTGATCGGTGCATAATTACATGTCATTTTGTATCCTTCTAACTTATGATTTGGTTATGTTTTTGAGTTAAACTTGTGCTTTTAATAAGTTTTGTGTTTGTTTCAGTGTAATAAGCTTGAGACTCATTAAATGCATTTTGGAGACAAGTTAGCTCATTGGTGTCTGCAGATCAGTCAACTTCACATATTAGATTGTACTTGCTCAAGAAGAACCAGATGATGAGCCATACATCATTGGAAAGATGCGGAGGTCTAGTTTCTGGAGAATTTTACGGTTCATGATTCCGAATCTTCTAGAGAAAGTTATACAGTTTTGGCAACTTAAGGTCAAATTCGGCAGCATCTGCGTTACTGGGCCAAAATTGACATTTGAAGGGCTTTCCGATTTTTCCTTGAGCTGGGCTGCATATGCTTGGAAAGATAATTCAAAGGGTTTGAAGATTCAGAGTTTTCCAGATTTTGTAGGAGGGAAGATCAATCCCAAAACAAGCCCACAAGCTGACTGCAATGAAGTCAATTCCAGTCTATTTTCGGCAGTCAACTTGCAAGGCCCAAAACATACACTTGTATTGCTCAGTTGGGAATACATTCTTCATGCAAGTTGTTCCAATGGGTGTCTAGTATAACATATCCAAATTTGAGCCCCATTGGATACATATTGAAACCTCAGGCCTTCCTACACCAAGCCTAGTTCAGAAGAATCTTTTATTTCCAGCATCCAAAAGAAAACCCACATGGGTTGGCAGCAAAAGGCAGCCACAAATTGAACACCTTTGATAATCCCATGTGAAGAAAGCTTGGAGTGCAGCAAAAGAAGTATGGGATGGAGTTGATTCCAACCACACTAATATAGACAAGATGAGGTGGGAGTTATGGGTTGTATTAAAGAAGGAATGGTGGTGTTGAATTTCATCATGATGTTCCTCCTTCTTAGCCCTATAAATAGAGAAGTCTTCAAGCTTCATAAATCACACCCCAAGGGGGGGAGCTCTCAAACACTTCTCTAGAGCTCCC